AGGTTTGCTCTGGTAGGGCTGGAAGCGATTCTTCGTTCCATAGACCTGTCGTCCCTGTGTAAAGGACTTGTTATTTTGGAAGTTTCGTTGACGTTGCGGCCCATTATAGTAGTTACCAGAGTATCTCCTGTAATAAGGTTGATGCCATCTTGGTTTTTGTTGGTAACTTGATTGACGCGGAAAACCATAGATCTGCATGGTTTTTTTCATCTCCTGAGTATGTTTAAGTCTTTCATCTGTCAACGGGTTAAACAGTCCATTCTCATTCATTGGGAGATCTTCTGCAATAGTACAACCATCCTCCGACAAGGATGAAGCTCTTAACCAGGCATGACGTCTGATTGCTGTTGCTGTCGCAAATATCTTCCCCGATGTGTCTGCCAAGTGTTTGGCGAAATCCTTTTGATATTTCGCTAGCAGCAATGCTTCCTTTTGAAAGGCCTTCGGCAGGCGTCGCTCATTCAGAGGCAGCAAGTCTATATAGGGACACATCTTGTTCCATAAAAACGTTTGATAAGCAGACATATAAGTGGCATAATGTGCCATCCTCGTAATCAGTCCTGCGGCTATATGAGCCTTCTTTCCCAATGTATCTATCTTTCTACCTTCTTTATCAGAAGGCGCCGTTTTCTTAGACTTCTTCCCTTGGCCAACCTCCGCTACAACTGTGTTGGGTATAAAAGGTTTGTAAACCCAATCAGCAGTAGATAGATCCAGTCTGTAAATGTTATCTACCCTTCTCGGTATAGCTGGTGCTGATACTGGAGACCCTTCTGGTACCTTAGTAAGTTTAAGGAGGTATGGCAATACTGGTAACGTGGTATTATTTGTTGCCTCCTGTTGATCCGCCGGAAACATAGGATCTTCTACTGGTTCCGGCGGTTTAGGATTAGGCAAGTCTAGCGCTTTAATAAGTCTGGTTAACATAGCTGTAAATTTAACAACATCATCATTAACATTAGACGCAGGGCCTTTACGTCTTGCGTCATCATGTGTAGGCAATTCATCATGAGACGTATCAGTCAAGTCCATCTGCTCTGATAAAGGAGCTTCATTACTATCATCTTGCTCTGACAGCGGGTCGTCTAGCAAAGCCACTTCGCCTGATACAGAAGCTAAGTGTCTGTGTGCTCTTGCAGCCCTGGGCTCATGGGGTCTCATATCAAACCCATTTGGGTTATTGGTGCTCTGCCAGCGATAAGGAGGTGGGAAGCCTCCATAAAAGATAGGGCCTTGTGGTGTCATTTGCCAGTAACCTCCTTGAGGAAGTCCTTCTCTCATTTCCCTTATTGAGCCAGAGGGCGAATGGGAGTAACATCTCATCTCCCTATCTGTGTGTGTCCTGCTTCGTCTGCTCCTTCCCCTCTGGCACCTCTTCTTCGCTCTTGGAGGGGAGGAATCAGAAGAGGAACCCGACGAGGTGCTGGAGGTACTCTTCGACGCCGAGCGTTCCCGGCGTCGATGCACTCCTAACTTCTCTCCCCCGGCGTCGGTTGCGCGGCGCGAGGGAGCCTTTGCCCGGCTCCGCACAATACGAACATCTTCTCTAGCCGAGGAGGAGGGGCCGGGCGCTTGGGAGGAGTCATTAGGGGGAGCCTGGCTCGGCTCCTCCCTCGAAGCCGCGACGTAAATCATGGGAGGAGCCGGCACCGATAGCGTCGGCATCGGGGGAGTGGTTTGGCTCTCCCTCGCCTCCTGCGCATGCACCGGACGTTGTTTTGCAGATCCCGGCTCCGCCTCTCTCAGAGACGCATGCAAGGGAGCGGGTCCATCTCCTCCGGCCGTTTCTTTCGCGCTCGCTGGCTGCTTAAGCTCAGCATGAGCGACCAACTTCTTTGCCGACTTAGGGAGTAGGCTTGGAGCCTTCTCCTTATTTCTTTTCGCCTTCTTTGGGCGCGCCATTACTGCCGTTGAAGATTCAGGTAAGTCCTTATCGTTCACGGAGCCCTCATCGCCATTTTGCCTCTTCGCAGGCAATGGCGGAAGAAGCGCCTGCTCATAGAGAGCTGCTTTGAGACGAATCTCTCTCTTCTTCCTCGTTTGAGGCGTGAAGAGCTGGCAAATATTACATTGTTGATGCATGTGCTCTTCGCCAAGGCAGACAATGCAAAGAGAATGAGCATCATTATCCGGAAAATTAGATTGGCAAGCTGTACAGCGTTTGAATCCTGTAGTATGAGACATCTCAGTTGATATCTCACAAATACTTCCTTATTAATTGAAGCTAGAGTCTCAATTTATCCAACTGCCTAAATGCGGCGGTTAAGAAGAACTGACCGTTAGCTCCATTTGGGGCTATTTATGTGCTCGGAGGTGGGCGTGGCTTAGCTAACGGTTTAGGAGAGTCTCGAGAATGTCCGATGCTGGCAGGAATTACCATAGGTGCAAATCACAGGTGGTCACGAGGGGAAAAGACAGAAGATGCCTGCCATAGATGTGGGCAAAACATTAGGAAAGAATGCTTCTAGGGCATGGCCATACACCCCAGAAAACTCACAGCAGCCCAATGATTCCAGTTATGAAAGCCTTCAACAAACCTTCACACTGGAAAAAAATGCTTGCCCAAAGTAGCAAGAAGTGAAAACAGCAGGGTTTCTAGCCACAAAACAAGATATCTTCAGAGTCCTAAATTGGTGCTGATACTTGTCCCACATGACTTCTAAGGCTGTTGGTACCACTGCTATAGTTGGCTGTCCAAAGTCACAGATCAAACTCCTAACTTTCACAAATTTGATCATTCACAATTAAATGGGATTTTTTTTCAGCCAATCACAGAGCTGTGCCAAAATGGCAGGATAAAAAACACTGGGAAAGGAGGGGGAGGTGCTCAGGTTGGGATGGGGCCCATCCCTGCATAGCAAAAAGCTTAGTTTTGGTAAACTCTTGCCACCAGTTGTTTGTGCTCTTCCAGTCTCTGAGAGCACACTAGCCACTGCTTCTGTCTTACAAAGGAACATAGATTCACCACAACTAAGCAGCCAGTGCACTTTCTGAAAACAAGAGGGATTTTTCTTTCCACTTTTTTTTTGAAGTCTTACATCCTAACCCCCATGAATATGGGGATAAATGTGCAACCAATTACAGTCTGCCTTCTATAACAATGTTTCTCATCCACAAATTCAAGCAACCACAAATTAAAAATATTTGAGGAAAAAGGTATGTGTATCCACCTCATTCAGCCATTATTTCAGCTCAAGTGATTTCTGGACCCTTTTTGTTCCACCTCCCCTCTCTCAGCTGCCTTACCAGGACTGTCAAGAAGTGGCAAATATGGCTCACCCTGTTTCCCATGCAACATCTTTTCTGTTTCTTCCTTCCTGGGCAAAAGTAGGCACATGCATGGAGAAGGGGAGGAATACAAAATGGCAGCTACCAAAATATAAAGGACTTATTCACTCTTCCACACTTTTACCATCCAGGTCCATCCAGGCCTTGTCACAGAAAAATCCTGCCATGAGTGACACATGGTGCAGCCAAGATTGGAATACATTTCAGGGGAGAGTGAAATCTTGCTGCACTGACTGAACTGAGCAAATGGTAATGAGACTATGTAGATAAAATAAAGATGCAAAAAGCAAGCAAATAAATCAATCCTTCTGCCTAAATATAAGGATCTTATATCCAAAGATTTTGGACTCCCTGACTGCATTGTTGCTGTTATAGTGTACCACTGATGCATACTTCCCATTTCAATTGACATCAAATTCTGCCACTCTCATCTTTGATGAACATTTGCATTGGTTTTTCTAAAACCTCGAATTTGAAAGCCAGGTCATGTTAAAATATAACTGTATCCTTTTCAGACAGGCTAGAAGAGCAATTGATGCATGTATGCCTCCAAGCTCAGGGCAAACAGCAACATCACTGAATATGTTTTAGAGGAGGATGAAAGCAGCAGAGCATTAATAAAGAATGCAGCTTCTGTGAGAAAAGGGGATAGTCTAGCGCATAGAGGACGCCAGTAATTCTGCTGTCTAGAGTTAACAAGAGCTTCAATCCAACAGGTGGAAGGCCACAAGCTGCTCACCTATGATCTATAGCAGGAGTGTCAAACTCATTCTCATTAAGGGCCACGTTAGCCTTTTTATTGCCTTCAAAGAGCCATTCAATCCATGGATAACTAATATGAATACAGAGGGCCAACTATATATTTTTTTTACATAGTAGTCAGTGCTCTTTAGCTTTTACCCGATTTGCGTCCCAGATGTTATTGAACAACAGCTCCCATAACTTTTGATTATCTGACATGCAGACTGGGAGTGATGGGAAATGCAACCCAGTAGCATTTGTGGCTCTGAGGCTGAGGGAAGGGTAAAAGACATTTTAACGCCAGACATCATATCCACAATCTAAATCCAAACCTCACTATCCTGAATAGATACAATTAAATGCATGCTTCCAAATGTTACTGTATCACAACTCCCACCAGCTTTAATCATGATGCCTAATGATAAGGAATACAAGAGTTATAGTCCGGCACATGGAAGGTCACATAAAATGACATGGTGGGCTGGATTCAACCTGCGGGCCTTGAGTTTGACACATGTGATCCACAGAAAGCCCTGTCTGATGCAAGGGGAAGAGGCTAAGGGTTGGGAAGGTATTAGGAAGTTAGTCACCGAAACGCAAAGAATTTAGAAAAAGACAGAGGTGGGGAATTTAGATGATTGTGCGAGATGAAAGAAGAATGAGCCGAAAAGCCTTTTAAAAATATAGCCATAGTATAAGATTGCAAGAAGAGAACATGAACAAGCTGGGAGCTCTAGAAGATCATGTACAATGTCAGATGACATACTGATACGAAGTATTTAGCTAGATATTTCCCTGTATTTCTCTAGCATACTTCACTGGAATCATATCAGAACACAAAATTAGGGATGGTCGAAGGTGAGTGGAAAGAGCCTCAAATGCACCCTGTCCTAGGATAGAGTGTTCCAACCCGAGCATTGGGCCAACCTGACCCAGGCACCCCAAGAACATGGGTCCACCCCAGGTCTCACCAGGTTCTGATCATCGAAGGCCCCTGAGCAAAGCTCCTGATACAAATCGGGATCTATGTGCAGATCGTCATCCGAGAGAGGTTCGGGTGTGGCAGCCGACTCTAGCTGTTCCTTTAGCATCTGCAGATCATCCTCCCGCCCCCGTAACATCTATTGAGCATTTGGGGAAATTGGGGTAGGAAGGGTAGGAAAAAGCAATGAGAGAAGAGCAGGGAAAGAAGAAGAGAGAGAGAGAGAGAGAGAGGAGAAAGCATTAAAGAAGCCACTGATCTGGCTCCATAAGCACAAAGCACTGAAATAGCACAAACAGACCCCTCTTTTCCTGTGCTCAGCAGCTGTCAACAGAGAAAATGGGAGCTTGCGGGATGTCAGGTAGCAAAAAGCGCAATAGGCAAAGAAAATCCCAACACCCACTTATTTTCCAAGATCAAGAAGAAGGGAGAAAAGGCTCGGAGTAACGTTCAAGAACCATGGCTCCATCCCCCTGCAAAACCTACAGTTGATGATCCATCCAAAACATGCTCTCAGGTCTCCTGCTCCCTCCCTATGCTAACCTACTAAAAGTAAGACTATATCTTTACATGCAGCAAAATGAGATGGAAATGCGGTAGCAAAATGGACTCAACATTTTGGGCAGAAGATATAGAAGACCCTTTGTGAATGCTCCCCTAAACATGAAGCACTACAACTGAAAAGTCCCCTAGCTGTTTTTTTTTTCTGGTAGGAACCAGTTTTAAGAACTTTGCCATCATTAACTACCAAGAGGTTATTGCTAATAAGTTCCTATTTGCAACTACAAATATAAAAGTAAGTTGCAGAAGAACTGCAAAGTAACTCAGGATAATGCCACTCCTTCTATAGTATAAATGTTACCTGTTTCAATTTATTTTTGTATTTTACAGCCTGGAGCTCATAACTGACACATATATTTTGTCTCTCAATTCAGCAAAGCGTGACATTCTGTTTATTAAAAAAATCTTTAAATAACTTAGCTATTTACATTTACTCAATTACATTTACTAAGTAATTTACTTGGAAACTTACCAAGAAAAAGTAACAGTTGTTGTCGTTTTAAGTGGTAACTACAACCATTAAACATCTGGTCAGTCTTGGATCAAATAAAAAACAGCAAGAAAAATCACTATTTATAAAAGTTAAAGTATGTATGTATTTATGTATGTTGGTTGGTATGTTCATACCACAAAAGCTCCTTCATGACTTGATGGATCTGGACCAAACTTGGTTCACAGTAAAGGTAAAGGTGTCCCCTTGACGTTAAGTCTAGTTGTGTCTGACTCTGGGGGGTGGTGTTCATCTTCATTTCTAAGCCGAAGAGCCAGCGTTGTCCGTAGACACCTCCAAAGTCATGTGGCCGGCATGACTGCATAGAGCACTGTTACCTTCCCACCAGAGTGGTACCTATAGATCTACTCACATTTGCATGTTTTCAAACTGCTAGTTTGGCAGGAGCTGGGGCTAACAACGAGAGCTCACCCCATCCTGCAGATCTGAACCGCCAACCCTCTGGTCAGCAAGTTCTACAGCTTAGCAGTTTAACCCACTGCACCACCACGGCCCCATAACTTGGTGCATATACCCCTCATTTTCCAACTTAAAATAACTGAGGAGTTTGAACAAAAAATAACCACCCCTTTCAGTCCCAGAGCAGAGGGAAAGAAAAAGAATGAAGCAAATTGGCTGTGTCTAGCTAAAAGGATTGGCTACTGTTAGGTGAAGTGGCCTTTTGTGATGTCACTGAGAAAGAAAGGCAGTGAAGCAGTTTGGCTGGTGCTAGGTGACACATGTATGGGAGGGAGGGAAAGGAAAGGAAAGGAAGGGGAAAGAAAAAAGGAAAGAAGGAAGCAAAGTGCAAAATGTAGGTGAGGGAAGGAAACAAAAGAAAGAGAAAGGAACAGAAGAAGGTTTATGAGGGAAAGCAAAAGAAGAAGAAAAGAAAGAAAAGAGAGAGGATAAAGATATATGAGAGATATGGAGAGAAGAAATAAAGAGCCACAAAAGTACTCATTGCTGCCAGAGTATTGCCATGGAGACATTGTGAGGTAGGGCTTTTCAGAGCTGGGAAAGGGAGAAAATAGGTGAGCAGCAGAACCAAAGGGCACCCAGACAATGTCACTATGTATTTTGATATATACTCGTTATCACAATATATACTCAAAGCAGCAAAGTTATTTGCCCAGAAATAGAAAGATGTGAAGACTCCCTCAGCTGAAAAATGGATCTTTAATTTATGAGACTAGTGAGAAGGATAAACTGTCTATGTTTTTGAGAGAGGAATCAATATACAGTTTTGTGAAATAATGGGAGGCTTTCTCGCAATATATCTGAGAGTAAAGAATAAGGATGCTTGCAGGATTTGAGAAGTGTTTATTTATTTACCAAATTTAAAGTAGTAGTTCAGAAATGCAGTATATGTCTCGAACTTTTAGGTGGGATTAAAATTCTTGTATTAGAGTAATGCCAACACTAAAAAAATATTAAGTCAGAATATCTCATATGTTTGATATTTGCTTGATGTGGATTGTTATGGTGTGTTTTCTAAACAAGACAGGTGACTTTGATTCTGCAAGTCCCGTATATACTCAAGTAAAAGATGAGTTTTCCAGCCCTTTATTTAGGCAAGTGTTTCTCAACCTGGGGGTCGGGACCCCTAGAGGGGTCGCCAGGGGGTGTCAGAGGGGTCACCAAAGACCATCAGAAAACACAATATTTTATGTTGGTCATAGGGGTTCTGTGTGGGAAATTTGGCCCAATTTTTTCATTGGTGGGGTTCAGAATGTGGTTTCATTGTAGGTGAACTATAAATCCCAGCAACTACAACCCCCATATGTCAAGGCCTATTTCCCCCAAACTCCACCAGTGTTCACATTTGATCATATTGAGTATTCGTGCCAAGTTTGGTCCAGATCCATCATTGTCCACAGTGCTCTCTGAATGTAGGTGAACTACAACTCCCAAACTCAAGGTCAATGCCTACCAAACCCTTCCAGCATTTTCTGTTAGCTGTGGGAGTTCGGTGTGCCAAGTTTGGTTCAATTCCATCGTTGGTGGAGTTCTGAATGCTCTTTGATTGTAGGTGAACTATAAATCCCAACAACTACAACTCCCAAATGACAAAATCAATCCCCACCCCCAACCCTACCAGTATTCAAATTTGGGAGTATTGGGTCCAGTGAATGAGAATACATCCTGCACATCAGATATTTGCATTATGATTCACAACAGGAGAAAAATTACAGTTATGAAGTAGCAAAATAATGTTATGGTTGGGGGGTCACCACAACATGAGGAACTGCATTAAGGGGTCGCGGTATTAGGAACGTTGAGAAACACTGATTTAGGCTGAAAAAGCCACCCTCGGCTTATACTCGAGTCAAGGGTTATTTATTATTTTACTCTGTTATTATTATTACTTTATTACATTTATTATTTTCCCTTTATTATTGTTATTATTACATTTATTATTTTACTCTAGTATTATTACATTTATTATTTTATTCTATTTATTATTTTTACATTTATTATTTTACTCTATCATTACTGTTATTATTACATTTCCATTATTTTACTCTATTATTAGTATTACATTTATTATTTTACTCTAGTAATTATTGGAAGGATACATAAGCACATATACATTGAAGATGGTCAGAATTATTGTTTAATCAGAGTTGGACAGTCTTATCTTAAATTACAGTTTTATGTAAATATTCAAAAAAACATTTAACCTACTGATCCCTCAATTAATGTAATTTTATTGGTATCTATTTTTATTTAGAAATTTACTAGTAGCTGCTGCATTTCCCACTCTTGGCTTATATTCGAGTCAATACATTTTCCCAGGTTTTTTTTGTGGTAAAATTAGGTGCCTCAGCTTATATTCGGGTCGGCTTATACTCAAGTATATATATGGTATTTGGTTGATGATATATCAACATTATATTTCTTTAAAAAATAAAAATCAAACTTTTTAAGAGTGTTCCTTGGTCACTTTGAAAATTCTGGATTCTTTAATGTGCAAAAACAGAGTATCTGATCTGTACTGCCATCCCTCTACATTTGCAGTTTCAACTTTTGTGCATTTGATTATTCACAGATTCAATTTAAAAAATATTATCTTGAGGAACTTCTAGGTCCTCCAGGGTATAGTCAACCTCTTCCAGAAATACTGGAAAATTTAGATATTTATAGAGATCACTTTTCCCTAGGAATATCTAGGTCTCCCAATGCAAGTCTATAGTCGATTTTCATTAAAAGTTGACCAGAAAGTCATGCTGGAAAACCAAAGGTGCATCTACACCATAGAAATAATATAATTTGAGACCACTTCTATTGCTGTGGCTCAATGCTATGGAATCCTGGAAGTTGTCGTTTGGTGGGGTACCAACACTCTTTGGCAGAGAAGGCTAAAGGCCTTGTAAAACTATTGTGCAACTCTCAGTGTTCCATAACATCAAGCCTTGGCAGTTCAAGTAGTGTCAAACTGCATTGTTTATAAAGTGTAAATGGACCCCTTGAAATTCCTAAAAAGTTATCTGAAATTTTAAAAATAGAATGCTTTTAATTTGTGGTTTTTCACTTTTTCCTGTGCCCTGAACCCAAGTGAAAGTGGAAGGCTGACTCTAATCTCACCCCATGTTGGCTGAGCATCTGATTCATCACCTCATTCTGCTGCATGTATAGACCAGACCTCACTCTCATTTGAATCCCCTTTCTAAGGAAAAAAAAATCAGGAGTCCCAACTTAACACTCATATATTTTTAAATCCTGAATTTTAAATGAAAAGGAAAAGAAAAAAGTAAAGAAAAGAAAAAACCAGGAGGGAAAAAGGAAACTTACCGAAGCTGGAAAATATTTATAGGACTCCTAGGAAGAAAAGAATGGGAAAACAATCACGTGTGAGCTACGCACAAATCAACAGCTTCAATCTGAGGTGGCTGCCCATCTAAGGCACAGCAGCCAAGGACGTGCCCCACAGAGAAAACATGCACTGACTTTCTGGGCAGAGAGTGCCCATAGGGACACTCACCCGAGCCCGAACTTGGCACTGCCTCAGGCGGCACTTCTGGCGGATCTTGTTGGGTCCCCCAAACTTCTTCATGTCGCGACAGAAATCACACTGACCACAATCCTCTGTGCGTCGGCAAGCCTCACATTCACCGCACATGCGCGCTGAGCGCTTGATCTGCTAAACGCAGTAAAATGAAAAATAAAAAGGAGGAGAGGATTGAGAATCTGAGTCTTTAAGTATCCCTGTTGCATCTGATTTGGTCCCAGCCCAGGCTCAGATTAGCAAGGATTCAGGCTAATCGTGGGGTTGGATCTCACAGCTGCTCACTGGCTTAAAAGAGAATGAGAGAATATTCAGGGCACAGGGCAGGGAATCATTTTAGGGTGAACACACATCCTTCCCAGGGCCCTTCCACATATCCATATAACCCAGAATATAAAGACAGAAAATCCCACAATATCTGCTTTGAACTGGGTTACCTGAGTCCACACTGCCATATATCCCAGTTTAAAGCAGAAAATGTGGGATTTTATTCAGCTGTGTGGAAGGGGCCCCGGGGTACTTCATGGTCCACATAATATAAGGAGAAGCAAAAGAGCTCCCATCTATTTCAATAGGCCCAAGCTGTGAAACAAGGAAAATAACAGGCCAGTGGGTCAGTCCCAGGAGGCTCTTTTCAAGCAAGGATTTGTCAAACAGACTTCTGAAAGCCACTGCTAGTTGAACCAGATAACAGTGGGCTAGATGGATAACAAATATTAAAGGCAGGCCCATGCATTCCTACAAAGAAATACCTCTGCTGCTCTAAAAGTCTTGTCAATATCTGAAATCTGTTTCAGCTCTTTGATGACTGCATGGATCATAAAGAGTCTTACAAAAACTCTGCAAATTAATTAGGGCTATAAACACAATGCAGTAAAGCCTATACCAGTGGTTCCCAACCTTTAGTTCCCTGGGTGTTTTGTACTCCCAGAGATCCCAACCAGCTTACCAGCTGTTAGGAATCATGGGAGCTGAAGTTCAAAACACCTGGAGGAACAAAGGTTGGGAACCACTAGACTAGACAAAGCAAACAACGTTAAAAATCAAGATGATTAAACTGCTCAGAAGCAAAAAGACAGATCTGTCTGTCTGAATTTTTTTAAAGATTAGTCCTGACTAAAGTAAATCCACTGAATCAATGGGGTTTGCCTGTATGTGGACTGAATGTGTCTGCTCTAGTTAGAAGTAACTAAGATGATGCCAGCTAGTATTTCTGACAAATAACATCCTTGCTTTACACACTGGTTGCAACTGAAATAAAGTATCAATACCTGAACTTAATACAGGAAATCCCCGAGAACGGGGGTGACATAACAGGAAGTGAGGGAAATCTACTCCTCGGAAATCTACTCCTCGCCCCTATGCTATCCATAACAACCTCCCTCTCTCCCTCTCTCTCTCTATATATACATATATTGGCAAAGTATTTTCTCATACAATGATGCCAGACCTTTTGATCCAGGTTAATAGGAAAGGCATGGTAACATGACTTCTGGATTTCAAATCTGGCCAGATATCTCCAGCTGCTGGGGGTCAGAATTTTAAGTGTCCAAGAAGAAAAGGAAATTGAAATGCATGCAGTCTAACATTTTAAAGCCGTGGCTTTAAATTAAAATATTTTTTTAAAAATAAGGAACGTATGCTGCTTTAAAATGTTTTGAAAATTCTTCTGCTGGTGTTTATTTTAATAGTTGCGTTCTTCAAAGTCATTTCAGACTAATGGGCAGCCCCATCACAGGGAAGGTTGCCATTGCCTTCCTCTGAGGCTGAGAGAGTAGTACCTGCCAAAGGTCACATAAAGGGTGAGCGGGGATTCTAACCTTGTTCCCCCAGAATCATAGTGCAGCACTCTGAGAATTACACCAAAAATTATAAGATGATTCATCTCAGCTTTCATGCTTTCAATTTGTAAACCACTTTGTAAGAATTCAAAAATTTATAAAACATAACAACAAACAGTATTCTCCCAAGCATTTCAACTACAAGAGCCAAACTGACAAATTCTGATCTATACTACATTTTCCAGTATCTCTATGGACCACAAAAACTGTTTTGAATAAAACATGCTACCAGTGGAAGGGCGGGGGGGGGGGGGGAATAAGCATTAACAGTTATTGGGAAAATAATAATTAAGAATGAATATCATACTTTGATTTTTTTGGTTCAAGTGTGGTTCAAGTCAGGTAGAAAATAAGGAAAAGGCCAAAGGGAGTGGACATTAAAGCAAAAACACATACAAAAGAATGCTTCTAATAATGCCTGAACTTCATATACAATGTGCTTTGATCATCTAAAATAATTCGGTACTGTTTCATTATCTGGGCCGAGGCCAAAAGGGGGCGCTAGACAGAGAAAGGTAGTCCATTTTATGGGGGACAGGGTTGAAGGTGTAAAACTATTTCCTGTTTTCCTGTTATTTCCCCCATCCATATCGCTGTCGTGCAAACGACTCTTGTTTAAGAAATGGGAAGCGGGGAGGGGGAATAACTAGCAAAAACGGGGGGAATGGTTTTCCTCCTTCAACTCCCCACCCCTAAAATGGACTATCTTCTGTTTAATGCCCCCTTTTGGCCTCTGTCCAGATAATGAAACAGTACCAATAATTCCACCTTCATACTGCCTACCAAATACAAGCATAGTTCAATATCAGGAGGCAGAAACTGGAGCAACGTATTTACCTATAGGATACAAAACAGTTAAAAGTTTTGACTGTTGGGAATTGGCAGTTGCCCCAGAGTTCTGAAGGAGGCTCAGAATCCAACACTTCAGGCTCTCCATCAATATTCCACCATTGCAATGCCACTTACATTGCAGTGGCAACTCAACTGCATTGCCTATAGTGATTAGACTTTACCTTTGAGCTTCGGCTTTGCTCCAGTGCCATTTCCTGTGCTTTCATACGCAACTCATCTTTCTCAGCACGTTCCCGATCCCCTTCACGGTCCTTCTCCTTTGACTTTTTATGTCTGTACCGGATCTCAAGTGCTGGGTCTCTCTCTGGAAAACAAGAAAAAGTTAAGAACACTCACACGTTTCATAGTACTGAGGAAGAAAATAGTCTAAAGCAAATCCCATTTCCCTGCAATTGTGTACTCTCTACAGTTCCCATTACCCTCCACCATAGCATCATAGAGGTGGAAGAGACCACATGGGCCATCCAGTCCAACTCCCTGCCAAGAAGTGGGAAAATGGCATTCAAAGCACCCCCAACAGATGGCCATCCAGCCTCTGTTTAAAAGTCTCCAAAGAAGGAGCCTTCACCACACTACAGGGCAGAGAGTTCAATTACTGAACAGTTCTCACAGTCAGGAAGTTCTTCCTCATGTTCAGGTGGAATCTCCTTTCCTGCAGTTTGACACCATTGTTCTGCATCCTAGTCTCCAGGGCAGCAGAAAATAAGCTTGCTCCCTCCTCCCTATGACTTCCCCTCACATATTTATACATGGCCCTCATCATGTCTCCTCTCAGACTTCTGCAGGCTAAACATGCCCAGCTCTTTAAGCCACTCCTCATAGGGCTTGTTCTCCAGACCCTTGATCCTTTTAGTCACCCTCCTCTGGACACATTCCAGCTTGTCAACATCTCCCTTCAATTGCGGCGCCCAGAATTGGATGAAGTATTCCAGGTGTGGTTTCAATGTCCCTTCTGGCTGTCAATGATGGGTATTTTAGTTTCACACATCTATAGAAGATCTGCTTCAAAATGTCTGGCCTAAATACACTGATTGATAAACTTCTCCAAAATTAAATACACTGATTGATAGACTGTCTAGTACAATCAGAAGAGAATGAAATTCTAAACAGTAAACAACTCCAATGGTACCTCAAAAAAAGGAGAAAATCAATGTGAGTACACTGGAGATGTCTCAACAAAGGGCTAATGTAATCTTCACAAGCATTTTACTATGCCTGTTAGTATAAAAGAAATTATGAATAATTCCAAACAGCCTTAATTGAAAGTGGCTGTTCAGAAAAAGATTTTAGAGGGGAAAGTCAATTGGAAAAAGCCTCCCAATAAAATTCAGATCAGAGGTGCTCTGTTTAATTTGCATTTTTACTGTCATGTTTTTTAAAAAGGGTAATTTTAAATGTAGCATTTTATTTTGCAAGCAAACACCCAGGATTTCCAAGGATGTTGTCTGAAGGGCACATCCACAACCGCTCCTTGAGGTCTTTGTACAAAACTAAGAGGTCTACCCACAGTCCTAATAAAATCTAGACAACTGTTTCTTAAACTGTGTCTGGAAATGGGGCTCCTTAGATCAGTCTTGGGGTCAGAAAAAAACAGACAAAAGTAAAAGGTTTCTAAAGGCCACCCATTTATATAAACCAGTAAGCCACAACATGCAGTGTTTACAGTAGATTCTGCAGAAAATACTTCAACAATGCTCCACAAAAGGGTGAATCAGCCTGTTTGGTAAGCCTTGCAAATGATGATTTATTATCAGTAAATGTTTGATTGGCACACCCATTTTATATACATATGTACCTGGGGTCACATAAACATTTCTCAGATGGAAAAGGGTCGTAAGTGGAAAGGTTGAAGAAGTCCTGATCTAGATCTTCAACTCACCTCTGCACTGCATGCAGTACCACTCCCGAATGGCTTTTGCCATCTTCTCAGTAATGTTAATACAATGGCCATGGAACCATTCATTGCAGTGATCACAGCCTCTGGAGTTTGGATGGGAAGAAAGAGAAAAGTGGGATTTCCTTAGACAAGCTTATTTCATATTTGGCTGCATCAGGACAGGATGGCTTGCTAGAAAACCTGTTTTCTTGCAATCCAATGGATCAATGCATCCGGTGTTATAGGAAAACTGGGGAAAAGTAGATTAGAATCTTCAGGCAAATCTCTGGGTGAACCACAATAGATCAGCTACAATTTTCAACAACCAGTGTTTTTAAAAAGCAAAAACAAAACTAGGTTGCTAAAATGAAAAGCTGGAGGGAAAAGGAGTGTATTTGGGTACTGAATTTTGGCATTTAATATTGCCAAAAACTTGTAAGCTGTTCTGAGTCCCCCTCAGGGTGAGATAAAGCAGGATAGAAATAAAGTAAATAAATAAATACTGCAAAAATAGGGGAACTTGTTTCTTGTATGATTCTTTCAAAAAGCATCTCCCACCACAAACCTTTTGGGGCTGAACAAAATACTGCCAAAACTGAATTTGAGCTAGCAAATTCCACCTAGGGCATTGAGAGTTGATTTTGTTATCTAAATTTCCCCAACCCACAACTTCCAGGAGAAGTCCGACATTGGTGAGATCATTATTCATATTCTGTACTCCAGGACAAGTCTATTGGTATTCTTAGTAAAGAGTCCCTTCATTTCAATAGGATTCCGTATTATCTGTGAGTTCCCATATAGGAGTGCACCAACCCTATAGAATTGATGCACTCTGACATCGCTTTATCTGCCATGGTTCAATGCTATGGAACACTGGGAGTTGTGTTTGGTGATGTACCAGCATTTGGGGGGGGGGGGGGGGGGATAAATAAAGACTTTGTGAAACTACAACCACCAGGATTCACAGAAATACGCCATGGCATTTAAAGTGGATTCAAACTGCAGCAATACTATGATAGCTAGGACCCTACACTATGCTGCTTGCGCAATGTGGGTCTGAATTAGGGGAACACGTGCGCGAGTGAGTGCACTGAGTGAGAGACGCAGCTGCGGCGGAGTTGATGCAATGGAAGGAAGGATAAAAAGGAGGAGGGAAAGACAACCAATGGAAGGAAGGATAAAAAGGAGAGGGGAAATACTGTTACATTACTTCACCCTTATCCTGTCCCTCCTGAGTTAAATTACTTCACTGTTATCCTGTTGCAGCTGCATCTCTCACTCGCTCCACTGTCCCACGCACGTGTCCCCTTCATTAATTCTGACCTGCATTACGCAACTAGCGTAGGGTCCCAGCTATCATATTATTGCCCTGCAGTGTAAATCAGGCATGGGAAAACTTCGGTCTACCAGGTGCTTTGGACTTCAACTCCCAGAAATCCCAGCCAGCTTACTGGCTATTAGGAATTGTGGGAGTTGAAGTCCAAAACACTGAAGGGCTGAAGTTTGCCCAGGCCTTGTGCAGATGCAGCAGCACAGCCCACCCCACCCCGGATACAGGGAATGTACTGTATTCCAATGAAATGTTGCCACAGTGGCACAATGTATTGAACCCTTGTGCCAGTGACCGAAAGGTTGGTGGTTCGAATTCAGGGAGCAGGGTGAGATCCCGTCTGTCAGCTTCAGCTATCCATGCGGGGACATGAGAGAAGCCTCCCACAAGATGGTAAAACATCTGGACGTCTCCTGGGCAATGTCCTTAGAGACAGTCAATTCTCTCACACTAGAAGTGACTTGCAGTTTCTCAAGTTGCTGATGACATTTTAAAAATTCCCTCAGCAATACTCACATCATGAAACAATTGATATCTGGTTTGCGGCAAATGCAGTAAACTGGAGCGTTCTCTCCATTCTCTGATTTGGACTCCTCGCCCAGAACAGCTAGATCTGGGTCAGAAAATTCATCCTGAGTTGCACAGAAGAAGAGAAAACATGAATCATGGCGAACACATTTAAGAAGAAGAAGAACTTTATTTTTCTACTCTGCCTCCATGTCTCCAAAGGGACTCGAGGCGGCTTACATGGGGCCCAAGCCCAGGCAGAATACAATTAAAATAAAGCAATAACAATTAAAACAGCATAAAACAACATAACAAAAATAGCTAGCAACAACAATAACAGCAGACTAATTTTGGAGGGGGGGAGGAAAACCACTACGTGAGCTAGTTAAAGGATAAAGTGGTTTGGTAAGGTAGATGACAATGTATAACGGCATAGGAAAAATCACGGAAACAGACAATAGTTAATACAATATAGGACATCAGATTGAATGACAATTCAAGTCATGATACATACAGGCCATTTGTCATAGAGTCGTCAATCGAAAGCATGGCGAAAAATCCACGTCTTTAATTCCTTATAGAATGTGGCTAGGGAGGGTGCCAGCCTAATCTCCCTGGGGAGGGAGTTCCAGAGACAGGGGGCCACCACCGAGAATGCCCTCTATCTTGTCCCCACCAACCGTGCCTGAGACGGGGGCGGGAACAAGAGAAGGGCATCCCCGGATGATCTTAAGGACCGCGTGGGCTCGTAAGGGAGGAGGCGGTCACACAGATAGCCAGGTCCTGAACCGTTTAGAGCTTTATAGGTGATGAAGTTCAACAGTGACAAATGCAAGATACTCCACTTTGGCAGGAAAAACGAAATGCAAAGATACAGAATGGGGGATGCCTGGCTGAGAGCAGTACGTGTGAAAAAGATCTTGGAGTCCTCGTGGACAACAAGTTAAACATGAGCCAACAATGTGATGTGGCGGCAAAAAAAGCCAATGGGATTTTGGCCTGCATCAATAGGAGCATAGTGTCTAGGTCCAGTGAAGTAATGCTACCCCTCTATTCTGCTTTGGTTAGACCACACCTGGAATATTGTGTCCAATTCTGGGCACCACAATTGAAGAGAGATATTGACAAGCTGGAATGTGTCCAGAGGAGGGCGACTAAAATGATCAAGGGTCTGGAGAACAAGCCCTATGAGGAAGCGGCTTAAGGAGCTGGGCATGTTTAGCCTGAAGAAGAGAAGGCTGAGAGGAGATATGATAGCCATGTATAAATATGTGAGAGGAAGCCACAGGGAGGAGGGAGCAAGCTTGTTTTCTGCTTCCTTGCAAACTAGGACACGGAACAATGGCTTCAAACTACAAGAAAGGAGAACTTCCTGACTGTGAGAGCCGTTCAGCAGTGGAACTCTCTGCCCCGGAGTGTGGTGGAGGCTCCTTCTTTGGAAGCTTTTAAACAGAGACTGGATGGCCATCTGTCAGGGGTGATTTGAATGCAATATTCCTGCTTCTTGGCAGGGGGTTGGACTGGATGGCCCATGAGGTCTCTTCCAACTCTATGATTCTATGATAACCTGCACTGGAAACTTATCGGCAGCCAGTGGAGTTGTTTAAACAGGAGGGTTGACCGCTCTCTGTAACTTGCTCCAGTTAACAATCTAGCCGCTGATCTTTGCAGTGACATTTGCTTCACCTCCATACTTCCAGACAGATTTCTACAAAACAACAACAATAATAAAGCTGCAGACTTGTGCATACCTACCATGGAGCACGCTACACTCAAGAGACTAAGAATCACTGCACAAAGGAGCCTCCCAAAAGCCAAAGACCTGTCAATGGCTCTGCAAAACTCTTTGACAGAGAGGAGGTGCATCTACTCTGTGGAATGAATGCAGTTTGACACCATTTTCAAGGTTCAGTGCTATGGAATCACAGGAGTTGTAGTTTGGGGGGGGGGCACCAGCACTTTTAGGCAGAGAAGGCCAAGGGTCTTACGAAACGACAGACTCCATAGCACGGAGCCATGCCCGTCAAAGCGGTGTCAAACTGCATTAACTCTATAGTGTGGATGCATCCTTGGAAGGGCACTGACCACCAGCAGGGGCCTGGCTCTGTCTTCACCCAGGAGAGTCCTTGCTAGCCACAGCAGAGCTGTGGCTGGAGAGTCGTTCTTGCTAGCGCAGCAGCATAGCTGTGGTAACAAGAGCCTCTCCGGGTGAAGACAGGAGCCAGGCGCGTCACTGCTGGTGGTGCAGTGCCCTTTTCCGCAAGGGTGAGAGGGGGGGGAGGGGGCATCAGGGGAAAAAAAAAAAAGCGCATTAGGAGCGTATCTAGCAGGAGGGTGGAGCCCATGAGCACTGGCTCCCTAGGCTGGGAAGGAAACCCAGAGCCCCCCACAGACGCTTCCCTCCTTCCCGCCCTCAGCAACGGAAGGCCGGGCTGAGGGAATGGCGGGCCCCAATGCCGCCGCCGCCGCCGCCGCCGCCGCCTCCTCCTCCTCCTCCTCACCATGATCTCCCGCTCTCTTCCTTTCTCTCTCGGTCAGTTCCCTTGTTCTGAAACAAGACGACAAGACGCTCGGCAATAGTAGGCCAGAGCGCCTGCCCGCGACTACTTCCGTTTCCGGTATCAGCCACAACAAGAAAAGATTATCCATGCCAAATGAGGCCCAAACTCCAATTGGACTTCAACTCCCAGAAGTCTCGGATGCCTCGGCCTACGATAAGGAATTCTGGGAGTTGAAGTTCTAGACGCCTGGGAGAGACTACACTAAAATATGGCGGCCTGGCGCGTTCTCGCCAGTGGAGCTTCTCTGAGGGAGGAGTCCGAGGAGGCGCGTGCGAAGGGAGCCGCCGTTCCATTGGGATTTTTTTTGTTTGTTTTTACTTCCTAGAACGTCCTGCTTCGAAGCTAGCGTGACTTCTCGACGCTTCCGGAGCCGATAGAAGAATTATAGAAAAAAAGGCACATGAGCGTGGCTCAGTCGCAGCAACGACGGGAGGAGCATTGGGATTTTAGTGGTGTTAAGAATGGCTTGACTGGTAATTGTCATCGCTTGTCTTGTTCAATGTCAAGCTGTCCTTTATGTTTGGACCGCTAGTATAATGCAGTTTACTAAAAATATTAAGGGGGTGTCATTTAGCAGCCTTTTTTATGGTTGCATCTGCACTGTAGAATGAAAGCGGTTTGACACCACTTTACCTGCCATGCTTCAAATGCTGGGATTTCTGGTCTCATAAGGTCTTTTGCCTTATCTTGGCAAAGAGTGCTGGTGTCTTATCAAGCTGGAAATCCCAAGTTTGAACCATAGCAGTTAAAGCAGTGTCAAAACTGCATTCGTTTAATAGTGTAGGAGCAACCATAGACTCAAAGTTGCTGCTAATCCCCCCCCCCCTTTTTTTCTCTCTCTCTCTCTCTTTTCTTTTAAATGTGGAAAACTGCATTATTCAGCCATCCAACGAATGTTACCGCCGCAAGTATGTTTGGCAGAGACGAGAGACAGGGCCTTCTCGGTGGTGGCCCCTTGGCTGTGGAATGCCCTCCCTACAGGTATTAGATCGGCCACCTCCATTTTTACATATCGGAAAAAAGTCAAGACGTGGCTTTTTGAACAAGCATTTGCAAATGCAGGATAACTGACATGTGAAAATGGAATGATTAGACAAAGAGTCCGTACAATGTTTTTAACAAGGAGACAATATAAACTTATATTTTATTGATTTGTTTAGTTTTTGTTATATGTTATGTTATGTTATGTTTTTAATTGTACTTAAGACATTGGGGAAGGCTGAGCGAAGGAAGATAGATGCTTTTGACCTGTGGTGTTGGAGGGGAGTTCTGGGAGTGCCTTGGACTGCGGGGGGATCTAACCAGGCCATCCTCCAGGAAATAAAGCCCGGCTGCTCATTGGAGGGAAGGATACTAGAGACAAAGTTGAAGTACTTCGGGCACATCATGAGGAGACAGCAAAGCTTAGAGAAGACAATTATGCTAGGGAAAGTGGAAGGTAAAAGGAAGAGGGGCCGACCAAGGGCAAGATGGATGGATGGCATCCTTGAAGTGACTGGACTGACCTTGAAGGAGCTGGGGTGGTGATGGCTGACAGGGGGCTCTGGCGTGGGCTGGTCCATGAGGTCACGAAGAGTCGGAGACGACTGAACGAATGAACAACAACAAGACATTGTAAGCATTGAATTTTGCCCTGTTGACTGCCTTGAGTCGCCTGCAGGCTGAGAAAGGCGGTATACAAATACAGTAAGTAAATAAATAAACATTCTAACAGCAGAAAAGAAATGAGATGAAGGCCTGTGCACCCGGAGTGTGAAGTAGCAGCTCTCCGTTGCTCCTCCTTTCCATTGTTGCCTCACACTCATGGCTTCCTCCTCTCTTTGGGTCTGCCACTTCCACTCCCAATGGGCCAAGCAACACAAAGAAAGAAAGAGAGAGAGTGAAGCCAGATCCAGAGTCCAGGCCTTCCAGCCACTCTAAGCCTGTGAAAAAAGCTTTCACGAAGCAAGCAAAAGACCCCATCTCAGCTGCTGCCCCAATCTCCCTTTTTTTAAAAAAAACGGACCATACTAGAATGACAGCAGTAATTAAGGACTTCATCAGCCTAGAGAACCTATCCATTTAAATCTTGTGTCTGCCTCCTGCAGAATTCTGGCATTTGTAGTTTAGAGAAAGGGCCTTTAAAATGCTCAGCCAGGCAGGTCCTGGACCTCATTAAACTACAAACCCCAGAATTCTGCGGGAGGCATCCACAGGATGTAAAGCAGTGGTTCTCAACCTGTGGGTCCCCAGGTGTTTTGGCCTACAACTCCCAGAGATTCCATCCATTTTATCAGCTGTTAGGATTTCTGGGATTTGAAGGCCAAAACACGTGGGGACCCACAGGGTGAGAACCACTAGTTTAAAATGGATCCATTCTCTAGCACAGTGGTTCTCAACCTGTGGATCCCCACGTGTTCTGGCCTACAACTCCCAGAAATCCCAGTTTACCAGCTGTTAGGATTTCTGGGAGTTGAAGACTAAAATACCTGGGGTCCCACAGGTCGAGAACCACTGCTGTAGCGTGATAAGGTTCAAAAAGTGGCAGCCCAGAGATGAGAAACTATGCACCAGCTGATAACAGCATCAGGTACAGGTTGAGGAGGCTTTAGGCTGGCCAGGAAATTCAGAGTGAGAGAAACAAGAAAAGTTGGGGTGAGGACTATAAAAAAAATCTAAAAATCAAAGTTCAAATAGGTTTTCCCCCTAAATTGGAACTTCAAAAGTGGGCTGTATCTCAGTCAATGAAATATGGTATTTCACCCTCAGCTTTTCATTTTTTCTGAGAAATATGTTAGCAAATGTGTGGTATTTTAAAACTGGCATAAAGTGTCAAGGTTTTTTTGATTGCCAATATGTATTCTTCGCACACCTCGCAGATCTTCCAAATGAAACACAATAGCCAGGGGCTTACAGAAGTGATGTTAGTTTAGTTTTGGCTTATTTTTGTCCAATTGCAGGCTGAAGATTTGATTTTTTCCCTCCCAAGATTTCTGTAGAGTATTTTCAAAAATTGAAATGGATAAATATTTTGAGCACAGATTGATCCTGTATCTAGGGAAGAGAAGTTGCATAATATTTCTGTAGAGTCATTTAATGCCGTTCAATATGCTGCGGGTTTATTTTTAGAGAAAACATTTGCTGCAGTCTTTATTATTTTAATCTGTTCACTATTGATAAGACCTGAAATAACATTTATCTAGATAGAACAATATGCTTGCTGGAGCGATTCTACCAAAAAGGAAATTTTAGTTTGATCAGTTTTTAATCTCACATTGAATCTTTTGTAGTTGAGATGCTGCGGGTTATTGAAGTTTTTCATAGTTAAGGTATTTGAAGGCATATGAACATAATGTCTTTGGCTGGGGACCATTGTTTATTTGAATGATTTTTGCATGGTTTATTTTTAAACACATGGTCTTGCAGTTTTAGAGAACCTTACATATAAGCTCAAGAATTGATTAATAAATGTGGCATTCAAGCCATCAGTTTCAAATTTTGCAGTTGTCTGGTTTTTCGTTATAGCCAGTGCAAGGGTTGCAATGAAAATGCATATGGGAAGAGATGTTATCTGTGCTTAATGCCTACATGGTTGAGTTCAATGTTATAAGTACAGTGGGCCCCTGATGTCTGCTGGTTTGGTCCCTGTGGATATCAAAATCTGTGAATGCTGGAGTCCTGTTATTTTAAAATGGCATAGTAAAATAGGGTTGTTTAATGAGTTGAAAATATTTTTTTCAAGCTGTGGATGGTTGAACCTGTGCATACAAAAGGCTGAGAGTGTTTGTCTTAACTGTGGCTGGTAACACCTGATATAATAGTGAAGTACCTAGAAATAATTAATTGATAATACTGTATAATTCACCATTTGGCTCAAAAAGAGCCTCTAGGTCAACTTAAAATTTAGAAATAATTAAAAATATGTATAACAACAAACATTAGAAACAAAATTAAGGACCAGGGTTGAAATTGCATTTCAAGTTTGGAAAACCTCTATGGAACGAAGTTTTGACACCTCACCTAAACTGTACCAGCCCCCATCAGACAGGGTTAGTGCCTTGTAGGCAGCTACCTGATCCCATCAGGAGAATCACAAATGCAGTTCACAAATATAAGAGCAACAAATGCAAGAGTTTGCTGTTATCTTAAATGTCTTTGGGTCTGTGAGCCCTTAGAATTAGATTTTTATTCAACAGAACAATTACTATTAGGACACATTTTGGCAACAGTAAGTAAGAAAAAGGAAGAGAATTTTGAGCAAAAAGCCCAGGATGAAGTTTTTTTTTAAAAAAAATCCCACTCCCATGGAAACAAGTTGTACAGAGAGAGAATTAATTACATGAGCTCCAGGCTGACATGGCAAGTATACCTTATCCTTGGGGCTTCTGAAGAAAGAAATTAGCTTGTTATCTATGAACACCTGCCATTACTTATCTCAAAAAATGTCCCCACTTTCAGGAAAGACCAGTAACCAGATCTGTGCCTGCTGACCATGGGTTTCTTCTGTGGTTCCCAATCACTCAGGAAAACTCCTTGCTGTTGGTGGTTGGGTACTTCTGCCCCATCCTTATCTCTCTCGGACACATTTTCAAGTTAGAGGATTGTACAGAAGAAATCTTAAAGAAGAAAGCAAATCTCCAACTATTCTCTTCCTTAAAATTATTTAGTAAACCAAAAATTGGACTAAAAAATAAACAAGGTGCTAGGTTTTTGTTAGAAAGTTTCACAAAATTCTTGAGCGCAGAATTACAAATCCAAAAATTTAGTATGAAGTCCCCTTCTGTTTAACTGATGCCCAACAGAGATAACACTAACTATAACTTACACATTCACTTTTCTGTACCATTATCATCTCCTCCAATGAAAAACCTGATTGGTCCTTCAAAAACCTGTTAAATCTGTTTATTTGGACACAGACAACTGAAATAAAATATGCTTCAACTGATGTAACAAGCAAACATCAAGATTTTCTGTTAATGAAGTTACAATTGAATTTTGGATCAGTGGTTCCTTTTAATATGATTTTATAGTAAAGTCTTTGGCACAACAAATGCTAAGATCTGAATGAATATGTATATTAATTACTATTAACCGGAGAAGGAACAGGATTTTTTCATGAATGCTTTGTTAAGTTCGAAATGAACCATTCCATTGAGATAAGGATTTTTCTTCAAAGCAAGGCTTCTCCAGCTCACATGAATCTGCCAATGTGGAGAGAGAATAAATGAAAGGTTAGTTCTGTTATTCCAGTAAGATTCCTCTTTTGAATGGAGGAGTGGGAGCTTCTGTCTAAACCTATTGAAGGTTGCTCACCTCTACTCTAATCTTTGACAGAGCAAGAAGATATCCTATACTTCATAGCAGATTTGGAATAATTAGCATAGCTACATAGCCAGTTTTGAAACCCAAGAGTCCATCTCATGTTGTTCAGTGTTTTCCTCTTGTTCCAGAAATCTCTTACCATCCCTATAATACCAAGTTTGCTATTTTACCTTGATATTAGGTTATTGTACAGCAGAAATGGGAAATGTCCTTTCAGATATTGTGGAATGCAGCTTCCATCATCCTTTATTTTTGGGTTTGCTGTCTTGGAATGCTGGAAGTTGCAGTCCAACAACAGATAGAGCACAGGTGTCAAACTCTAGGCCCATGTCATGTTATGTCGCCCTCCAGATATGTTCCTCACTAGAGATCACTACTAGAGCTGAGAGTTGTGCTGCACTAACATCTGAAAGGCTGGAGTTTGTTCTGTTTAGTCAGGACAGTGGGGTTTGAATTTGGATACAAGGCTTGTTGTATCCAAATTGTGTCTGAATTTAAAATGTCCTTTAATTTTTCCCCAATCTCAAGAGCCACAAATGCTGTTGGGCTGCAATTCCTATTATTTCCAGTCTGCGTGGCAGACTGGAAATAAAAGTGACTGGAGTTGTTGTTTAATAACATCTGGGGACCCAAACTGGGTTAAAAGTAAAGCGCACCATCCACTATTTTATAAAGAAATAGCCTTCTGTATCCACAGATTCTCCATCCATGGATTTAGTAATCTTTGGAGGCAACTATAAGGCTGATGTGCTCCTTGATTAAAATGAATCTGACACCCCTGACCTAGAAGATCATATGTTCCTGCGATATGTGATAGCTTTTTGAGAATTATTAAAACCACTTAACCTGTACCCCATCCTGTATTTTAGCACTCTACAAACCATGTTAATTCTCATCAATGCTGACATTCTCCATTTCCATCTGCATGTCCTCCAGTTCCGCTTTTAATCTGAAAAATAGATGAAACAATTGAAATAACAAAAAGAATTTAAAATGTCAGGTATTTTAGAAGTATTTAGGGGCCTTTGATCAAAATGGCCAATGTATATCTATTGTACCTTTCCATGGGAATAGATAATACAATTAGAGTGCTTGAGAGAAGCAACATGGCTTAAAAGGTGATAAGCTGTGGTCAAATCTTATTAATATTTTAAGTAGCATAAATATGGATATACATCAAAATAGGCATAGTTATACCAAGTGACATCTCCAGCCCATCCTCTGTTCAGATATCAGCACACCAATGCCTTCAATCAAGAAACAGCTTTCTAAGGTCTACAGAGATATTCACAGGAAAACCTCAGCAAGCAAGTGTCCAAACGTGGCAAGTGAAAACCTGGAAGCTCAATCCATGGCTGATACCGGATGAGAAACTGGGTGACTTGAAAGGCGCTGAACAAGCTGCATTCTGGCACCATAAGATGCCGAGCTAACCTTAAGAAATAGGGCTACAAACGAGTCTATGACATGCAGGTGTGGAGAAGAGCAAACCACAGACCACCTACTACAATGCAACCTGAGCCCTGCCACATGCACAATGGAGGACCTTCTCACAGCAACACCAGGTGCACTCCCAAGTTCCCAGCTTCTGGTCAAAGGACATTTAGCATAATGTCAAGGGTTTTTTTTAACGTTTTAAAAATGCATTTTAATTGTACTCTCAACTAGCTTCTGACACAATAAATAAATAACAAAGTAATATAGTCAAGTTTATCACTTTCTGCACACGGAATGGAAACTTATATAAGAAATCTATGTAAGTGTCTTTACTCCAAGCATTGAAATAAATCAGCACAAGAGGTATGATTAACCAGATGAGATAAACATTATAAATTCAATCAATATTGTTTTGCCAAATCTTAGAATATTTAAAAGTAACCAAGTACAAAATCCTAATCTTGCACCCCATTTTATGGAGAAATAATGTAATCCTAATAGTACCACCTCCCAAATGCAAAGTTTTAAGTAGGGAGTCCTCAGTTTGCACTGGCTCAGAACCATTCCTTTTTAAAAGGAGAAACCAACTGCTGGGTCCTGAGTCCCAACATGTCAAAAGTTTGCTGCTCACCTACAGCATTTCTCCTGTAAACTCGAGTTGCATTTAGATGCCAGTTCTAGATATTCAATTGCTTTCTTGTTTTCTTCTTCAAAGAGCTCTCTGGAGATGAAAGAGAGGAAGTGACAATTTTCACCAGCCCAGTTTGACAGGGTGTGAATTGCTTTTTAAATGAGCTGTTGCATAGTCAGAACTCTTCTAAGGGTCTCGTGATGAATAAAACACAGCATAAAAGAGCCCAAATCTTCTAGCAGCTTCTTATATTGTTTTGTTCAAGGCATTTATAGAGCTGGGAAAGCTATTCCTTGAAGCAATTCCTCATATAATAAACACATTATGAACTTCAAATTCTCTTTACATTTTAAAATGATGATTAGCTTATTTTTTATTATAGGGAGGGGGGATACATCTTAGAAGAAAATAATAGAAAATGAACAAATCCCCATAAATACTCCCCTCACCCAAGTAATGAGAAAAACCTGCACATTAACGTAATGTAAAGCAGTGGTTCTCAACCTATGGGTCCCCAGATGTTTTGGCTTCAACTTCCAGAAATCCTAACTGCCGGTAAACTGGCTGGGATTTCTGGGAGTTTAGAAACACTGCACTAGACATTATCAATGTTACCAGTTGTAATATTATATCCAAAGGGAATGCCATTATACATGGTCTCTTTATCTAAAAAACTAACATGTCAAAGTTATAATTAGATATACATGTTAGTTCCAAGTTCTGAGCATTTATTACACTTCTTCCCCGTTTTAATGTAATCTATGAGTTAATAATTTATTGGATCCCCTACAGAATAGTACTGAATGTTAGGTGGTGTCGGATCAGAATTGCTCCAAAGAAGAGCATACTGTTTATTTGCTACGTACAGGGCAGCTACAGCCTCCTTGCTCTTCAAGAAGTTTCTCTCCTCACTTAAGGTAGTCTGGGTCAGCAAATCCAGTTCGTCTTGAATACTGGTCAGTTTCTCCTGGAGCATTTTCTCTAAAAGGACATTGCAGTACAGTGGTGTAATTTCAAAGCAAATTGTGATCACAGCAATGAAGTGCTATCTGCTTTAGAAATGTATTAGGCTTGGGAGTAGATCATTACAAATAATTTTCTTAAGATAAAACTGTATTACCTTTCGAATGTAAGCTAGAAAGGAGTTGTTTTTTTCCTGCAATACAAATGTACAATCATATAACTGGAACCAAATCTTTGAACGTTGCTCACTCTGGAAGTTACTAGTACAGTTGTCCCTCTACATTTCAGTTTTGACTTTTGCAAATTTGATTACACTATGTAACAAAATTTGAAAAAAGTTCTAGATCTGAAAGTGTTATTTCCTGTTTAATTGTGCCGTACTTACTTTGAAAGTAATTGTCATACTCCAGAAACTTCGTTTTTGTGGCTGCAATACATTATGTTGCATTGGTTGACACTCAGTGAGATATTCATTGAAAAACTCTATCAAAATGTGCTGCAGGATGTCCGCAAAAACAAAGTTTTTTGCAGTTAAATATTTTCCATGTTTTTATGATAGACCCAGTTAGAAAATGACATGTATATCCCAGGAGGGGAAAATAGCGTTATGTAGTATTATTTGTGGATTTAACTTAAATGTGCTTCTTTGGATTTTCTGGGTCTAGACCAGTGAGGCATTATGGTCATATTCTTCAAGTCATGCTGAAGAATCTAGAGATTTCTGGAGAGAACACCTATATAGGAGTCTCTAGGTCCTCCAATATGATCAATGTCCAGTGGAAATTGACCATAGGGTTATATTGGGAGACCTAGAAACTTCTAGAGAGGTCTTCCCTGAAGTCAAAAGTCTTTATTCACAATTTTCACTTTCACATGGGTTCTGTGCCTCTAGCCTCAGAGAATAAATATAGAGGGCTGACTGTACTACCAAAGAATGGCAACAAAAGGAGTGTTTGGTAACAGAAATATGTGCTATTTCTGTTCAGTGCTTGCAATATGTTTAGCTGGCATGCAGTTGATAGCCTTCTTTCTGACCAGTAGCAGAAACTGCACTCTTTTTATGAACAACTTTTGTCACCACAATGGTTTTGGCTACTTTTACAGAAAGAGGGACATCCGCATTTCCCTCTTCTTTTTTTCTTTTTTGATTTTTTTTATTAAAACAGATTAAAACAAAACCTACATACAAACATACAAAAAACAACAACAAAAGATTAAAAATATTTTTTCTAGGATAGTACTGTTACATCCTAAACATCAAAGAAACAATCACTGCAATCTACTTTATCTAAGGGCTTTACGTTCTCTGTCTGGTGGTTATATTCTCTCAGTTTTCTACACCCATCTGGTGAAAAATAACAATTGGTACATCCTTTCCCCTTTCTTCTATGAGTTGGAAATGAAAAGTTTCTCTTTGGTTTACAAGTATGGTACTAAAGAGCAATCTACATGCATTCATACCTATTATAAGAATATATGACACCTACACAGAGAGTACTTTGGAACCAGTCTCACTGGTTTGATTAGCACATGACTTCATTCAGACTGATATTGACCTTTGTCTCATGCAGAGTGAAACCTCACCACATTTTTGTAAACCTCAAATAACCTTCACTGCTGTAATGAGAAAATCAACAAGCACCTATTTTTTACTACTAAGAGAAAGAACATGAGGGCTTTTAAAGAATAATAAGTCCCATCTGTAAGACTAACATGTGCCACAACATTAAGGATTGAAATTTTACTTTGAGAGGCATGGATATCATGACATGCTGAAGTCATCAGCAGCTGGGACTTGGAGGAACTCACTCTGCCAATCATTTAGATTCTTACAGAATTCATTGTTTGGTGAGACACCAGATCCTTCTGGCAGTAAATCCTGAGCCCAGCAACAAACTAAAAAACCCAGGTTAGATTCATGGAAGTTAAAGTGACACTGAAGTGCTATAATTGTATAAAATGAGGGGGAAAACTCACAAAGGTAAGAAGAGCAACCATATTTTTCAAGCAACAAAAAAAAAATTCAACATTCCACAATAATCTGATGTCCTTGTATACTGCATGATGATGGATAGAAATACTTTTTTTAGAAGACTCCTTGATGAGTTAAGAAATCCAATATGCTGCAACTTCTCACCTTCCTTCAGCAAACGCTCCTTACTTTCTTTCATGTCAGCCACCGGTTGATCCCTAGACTGAGAAGACAACAAACAGGATACAACAAAGAGGAAAAGGAACCAAGAATCATTTTTACCACTGAGGGACTTAAATACAAGTGATGCAGGAGATCCAAGAGTAAGGAGCCCTGATGGTCTAATAGCTGTCATGGGGTGGGAAAAGCCAATGGTTTTAGATTAAGAGACTGAAGCACCAGGGGCTTATCCTTTCCACCAATCCTAATTTCCCTAATAAAATTGTAAAGAGAGAGAGACCCCAAAGTTTCCATTTCCCTCATAGGACAAACTGCATAGGTATATGACTTGTCTTCGCTTCTTGTCTCTTAAGAGCAGTGGTGGTTAAGTGAGGAAAAATTTTGAGGAAAATGCGGATGTTGTTCATGTCAATATCTGAAATATTGGGTTACATTTTCCTGGCATTTAGGTTCCAAATCTGCTTCAATAAAGACACACAGAGACCAAAGGCTGGAGCATAATCCAATGTATTGCATCATTGGTCAAGGCAAAAATGTTCCTTAATGATCTGCTCCAGTATCTTTTCTGGTATTGATGTCAGGCTGACTGGATGGTAATTGTTTTTTTCCCCCTTTCTTGAAGATAGGGGCAACATTTGCCCTCCAGACTTCTGGGACTTCTCTTGTTCTCCAAGAAATCTCAAAGATCATTGCCAGTGGTTCTGAAATTACTTCTGCTAGTCTATTCAATACTCTTGGATGTAGTTCACCTGGACCTGGAGCCCTGGTGGCGCAATGGGTTAAAACCTTGTGCCAGCAGGACAGTGGTTTAAATCCAGTGAGAGTGGGTTGAGCTCCCTCTATCAGCTCCAGCTCCCCATGCAGGGATGTAAGAGAAGCCTCCCTCAAGGATGGTAAAACATCAAACATCCAGGTATCCCCTGGGCTATTTCCTTGCAGATGGCAGATTCTCTTACACCTAAAGCAACTTGCAGTTTCTCAAGTTGTTCTTGACACGAAAAAACATCTGGAACTGGAGACTTGAATTTATTTAAAGTAGCCAAGTATTCCTGAACTACTTCTTTGCCTATTTTGAATTGCATTTCCCCTATTATCTCATCTGCTCCATATTGCTCAAATTTCCTTCTTCTTCCTCTTTCCACTGATATAACCAAATAACCCCTTTTTATTATTTTTAATCCCCCTGTCTTACCTAAGAGCATTCACTTTTAGATCTTTTAAACTGTCAGTTTTCATGTGGCAATATGCAAAATCAGCCTTACTAAAACACCATGAGACCAGTATAGATCAATACAAAAATAAGAATCTTGTTCTTACATAAAGTTCCCAAAGCCTCTTGTGCTTCTCCATTAACTCCTCAAGAAGCTGCTCAAATTCCATTCTGAAAGTAGGAAAAAATAGGATAGAAGTAGAAGTAAAAATGTTGCTAAGAGTGTTGCACATTCTCATAGCCAGAAAAATAATGTTATACTATGGCCAAGAGCATAACTTTTCCTACAGCAGGCATTCATACATGTCCTTGAGAAGTTGGCATGTAGAAGGAAATTGAAAGAACCATTAGTCGTACTGGCTGGGCAATTCTGAAAATTGTGGTCTGAACAAGTAACCCCTCCAATCTATATTCTGAAAACAGATAGCATAGATATGTCATGGCTGATAAGAAGCGATAGCCAATTTACATGAAACCCCCATTTAATGATTACTTACACTAGAGATCATTATTACTTCTTGTATCTATACGACTGGGTCTAAATTTAATTATTAGTCTCGACTGGAGTATGACCCATGAAATCAATAGGTAAATCAACATATAATTTCTTTATATTCAATTGGTCTCTACTAGTAGGGGTTAACAACTGAACTGAAGCATACAAGTATATATGTGGAGTGACTATCAGGGCAGATATCACTTGCAGAGTCTTTTGATGAATCTGAATATGATAATACTCTTAAAAAAGTGAATCAGGTGATGGTGCACACACCACATTTGTAACAAAAGTCCGTGTTTCTAGGAAATACCTCTGTTTGCTTTGCTTCCGTTTCTCTGCCTGGATCTTAGCTGTGACTGCCTCAATCCGCTGCTTACACTCTCGGTTCAATTTCTGTTGCCTGGTACACAAGACAACACAAAGTTTCAAAAGAAGCTTTACTAATTACTTTATGGTAATTAATAGTCCCTCTCAACTATGCAGCATATATGAATGCTGAGTTATAAATATTTTAGATGAATTTAGCTTGGCAGCAGGACTGGTCCTGAAATAATGTCAGCCAGGTTTCCTTGTCTACTGCAGCTCTGGTTGCAGCTGTGACACTTTGTATAAAAAGATATACTGGTATTCCTTGATCAGTTTATTTTAATCTTTTCTATGTAGATTTCCCTGTTCTAAAAGATTCTCAATATCAAGACAGAAGTAAAATAACTTAAGGAAAAATATTCAGGGATGTTGATCATTTAGCAAAATAGGCATTGTTGTGTGGATTTTGTATTTTGTTATATTTGGTTGCATGGCCAACATAGCAAATATATTTCAGACACTATTGCCGAAGAAACATCAAATGCTGTACAGTGTGGTCCTGGGGTGTTTTTGAAATATTCCACTATACTCATATATAGTTTTTAGGTGGGTAGAAAAATGCATTTTATGTAACCAAGTATTTAGACTCTAAATGTAACAGACAAATTTTGTGACAACTGCAATATTACAGTAATTTTAGGTTTACTCATCTGCATTTAATGTTAATTCCTCCCAAAGTAGTGCCGTTTTCTATTCATCATAATACATTTTTAAGAATTCTTGAAAATTAAAACTTGGCATGTAAGATGAGCAAATCAAAGACAAAAAAAAAAACCCCTCCAATATTTTACTTTTAACCTAATGAACCACATTGCTCACCATTGCCTCTTGATTTCTGTCTCTTCACAGTGAAATTGCAAAACTTTTCGGGTCTCTAGAAAGAACATCAGAAAAGCACAGAGATATTGAAAGACAATTAAAGATTTTAAAGGGTGAGATGTTTACAAAAATAGATAGTATGGAAATGGAATACTAGGGATACCACAAGGATGTTGATAAACAAGGGTTGCAGAATAGCACATCCAGGAAGTTTTAAAAAATAAATTGCAAAGGAGATGTACAAGAAAGGAGAGGGAAAGGAGATGCACAGGCACTAAGGAGAGGTAGAAGTGCATTGCTCTTCACTAACAATGCAACAAGCAAGACCCAGTAGGTATCAACAGAATGTACTCAGGCCGACATTTCATTCCACAAGCAGAGTAATAACTATCCATTTTCTGGAGGAAATGTTTTGGGATTTGCAGATTATATCAAATCCAATGCTGAGAAAACCGACTTGCTGTAAAAAAATGTACTGGTTAAATGCTATGCTTTGGATTTGTACTAAATGGATCCTGCTGAGGTTTTGAAATAAATGTCCTCAGTCTTGCCGTTACCTTTCTTCTCATTCCATATTTCCTCAAGGGATGACTTTTCAGCATTTACTACAAGAGAAAGAGAAGAACTCACTCAGCTACTAGCTTTATAATATTACAAGGCAGGAAAGCGCAAGAGGCCCCAGGTGGTGCTTTTATGCACAGTTGGAAAGAACAGTTATTGGCAATGTTATTATGTAGGCTCTTTGAAAGTGACCTTTAAAAAAACAACAGACGAAAATGTACTCAATAAAAGGTGTGAACTGAAAAGACAAAATATTTGGGGGGGGGGGGGGACCTTTCTGGAACCATTCCTACATACCTTCCAATAATTCACTGAGGCAAACCAGGACACAATTGGTTAAATAAACGGAGGCAAGATATGAAAAATTATTAACGAAGAAGAATGCATAATGCTAGGAGAAACTGTAGCAGGTTGCTTTTGCCTAAGCCTACAGAGCAGGGCAAGATTTTGCCCTCTCCTCTCCTGCTGCTGAGTTAATTAAGGACAAATGACTTCTTCATTTTCAGCTTACTTTGCAGCAAATGGAGAAAAGTGAGGACAAATGAGGAAAGTAGGAGAAAGAGAGAGAAATCAATTTTAAAGCATCTGAAAATGTGAGAAAACAGATAATCAGCACTGTTCCTGCCAAATCAGGACAGCTGGAGGGTATATCTTGAGATAGAAAAGAAAAATAGCTATCACAAGGGAAAGCTGTTCAGCCCAATATGAATATTTTTTCCTACAGCAACAAATGGAAGGAGTGATCTCATCTCAAGACTGTCCTGCACCACTACACTGCAACAATAATCACAGTAGTTTGATTTGGTAAAGTCATAGTGTATCTCTCTTGAGCATAATTAAGATGCACCACATTGGGAGTTATTAGCATAATGATGTAATTTTACTGTGCATGTTTTAACATGGTTCATGAACAGCCAGACATCACAAGCTCTGAGGCTGACTGGGGGCATTAGGCCAAGAAAAGTGACAACATACCTAGAGCCAAACATGGTAGGACTGCAATTACATATGTCAATTCAGAAGTAAGTACCACAGGACTAAAATAGGGACATGTTTCCAGGTGACAGACAGGTGGTACCATGATTACTACTGGACTGAGCCTTGGGAGATCTATGTTCTGATCCCCACTGAGCCATTAAGCCCACTGGGAGATCTTGGGTCAGTCATTCTCAATCAGTGTGACATTACTTCCAGCATTAGTGTTGCTAAAATAACATGAAGATTGTTGTATATTCAGTGAAGAAAAGGAAAAAAGTAATTAAAGGTAATTGAGGATTACATCCTAAAACACATAGTTATGAAATACTGCTGGTGGAAAAGGACAAAACTTGTGAAATATGACAACTGATACCAGCAGCAAGTGTATATTTCCATAATGATTTCAGACTACAGTATGGTGTCTGAGCAATAAAAACTTAAAATATCTGTAACACTTAAAAGACCAGACCCATGTTTTAAAACTGCTCCGGCACTGACACCCCCATAGGAAAAATTAAAGGAAAAGTATTGATTGCTACAAGAAACAGTGCAGTGGAATGATTCTCAAATCAGTGATCGTGTGAAAAGGGATGTTTGTATATACTAGAGCAAAATGTTCAGTTTCAAACTGTATCACAAAGAGCACGTACTTCCTTGTTACAAATGAATTTAGACAGAGTCTTAAATATATGGGTACAAAAAACACAAGAGTTATTAATCTAATAGCTCCAGTGAACAAGAACGCAAAGAGATTTATAATAAAACAAGATAATAGCATGTAGGGTATGTGAAGAATAGAGGACCCTTATATTTTACAGATCCCACACACAGTCAAACATAATGTTGCATTATCATTACCTACATTTTTCCAGTTCCCTCTGCAATGACTTGCTATGTTCACTTGCCTTGGAAAGCTCCTCACTTAATAACTTCTTGGCTGGAAAAAATACATACATTTTAAAAGGGGTTTATTATTATTTTTATTTATTTGCCATATTTATATCCCCCCTTCTCACCCCAAAGGGGACTCAAAGAAGCGCACACAGAGGCACAATTCAACGCCATACAACATATATCCGGCAAATAAAAACATCTACATTAAAACACCGCTAAAACATTTCAACATTTAAAATTATTAAAATTGCATAATCCAATATCATAGTCCAAGCCATTCCACTTGTCATTGCACCATTCCACATTTACATACTGCACTGATAGGTTAACTGATAATGTTCAGTCTTTTAAATGCTCAGAATTAGCATTATGAATGTTAATATTCAAAATAGATCTTAAACTTACTATTTAAGTTCAAAATCAAACAAATAAGCAAGCCAGACATTGTAGCAATTTACAGATAAACTGAAATCCAGAGATGATTACTTCAGACTGAATTAAACACTGGTAGAGGTGCAGTTTGCACCTAGCAATGCATGCTGAAATAAAGATCCAATGAGCTAGTCTCCATTTCCAAAAATACAAAGGCCAGCTACAAATCCCTTTCTTCTCTGGGGTGAAACATATTGGTTCCCAAGGTGGGACAGCAATCTTGCAGAATAGACAGGTCAGCCTTTATCTAAGTAAAGCTGAACCTTTAGTTTTCAGAAACGCTGTTAAAACCAACCAGTTTGAGCATGTTTGGGGACTCATGTCATGGATACTGAAGACAGGGTGTTGCTTTTTTAAAAAAAAATTGAGGGTGAAATAATGTTATGCAACAAAAGGCGCAGCACTGTGTTAATTTGGCTGCTCTTATCCCCTTGGATAAAAAAAGGCAAATGTTTAAATAATAGTTAGCAACTGATGCGGATTTGGGGACCAAATTTCTTCTCCACTACAAGATCCTTTGAAGGCCACAGGCATTTCAAAAATGCTCCCTCCCCCACAGAAGTTGCAATCTGAAAAAGTCTGAAGAAGTCCACATCTGAAAAAATTGACTGGGGATATTATGTTCAATCATGCAGGAGGGCCCTCTAGGCAGTCTGGAGAGATTGAGGGCTATGCTTTATCTATCCTTACTATAAAGTCTATTCAGTATAATTTGAATAAGGGAAGAGAAACTAGAAAAATATTAATTACAAATATGATCCTCATTGAGTTATAACATATGTGTGTAGGAGGAGATGGGAGGAAACTATGCATTCAGGAATGGAACAGGAGTAAGAAGAGATACCTCAAAATGTTGGTTTTGCTTCTTTCTTTAAAATGGGGGAATGGCATAAGGATTGCAGATTACTCTCTTTTTGGAAACCACATCTGGGAACATTCAGCTTTTGCACTGCAAGAGCCATCGCGATGTGCAGACCTGGTAACCACTGCTACAAATATAGCTTACTTAGCAAAGGCTTAATTTTGAGATGTAAATAATATAGTTAATCCCTGCCTTTTTCTTTTACCTTGCTGCAATGTATTGATCCTTTTAACTAGGTCTTCAATTCTTGGCTCCAAACTCTCGACTATAAAATCAAGTAGAAATCAAATGAAAACTGAATTATACATGCTATGGTTAAGGAAAAAGCAATACATTAAAATACATTAAAAGTTACAGTTTGTACCAATCTCAATGTCAAAGTCACTTTGCCAACTGAGGTGAAAGGAACAATGACACACATCTTCCTTCCAGGTACAACGGCCAATCAAACAGATAGTAACATCTTTGTATTGTCTAAGGCTTTCATGGCCGGAATCACTGGGTTGTTGTAGGTTTATTTGGGCTATATGGCCATATTCTAGAGGCATTCTCTCCTGACGTTTTGCCTGCATCTATGGCAAGCATCCTCAGAGGTAGTGAGGATGCTTGCCATAGATGCAGGCGAAACGTCAGGAGGGAATGCCTCTAGAACATGGCTATAGCCCAAAAAAACCTACAATAACCCAGTAAAATCTTTGGCACTTGCAATGTAACGACATCCTTCACCACACATGAAGGTACCAGGCTAGCATGAGCAGTGCTAGCCACAGAGTGCCTGGACTCTAAAGCTCTGTCCTCCCAACATTGTGATGAAACTCTTTACCTTATAGCACCTACTTCCTAAGACAACTATAATGGCTAATAGAAAAATACTCTGATCTTGCCCTCACATATAATTGTATGTTATTCATCAAGGGCCAGTATCTAACTCAGAATCCTTATCACAAGCAATATAAATAAAACTCTAATAATTTTTATACCATACTTCTTGTTTCTCCCTAGATCAGCTACTAATTTTTCTTCCAAGAACTTTAATCTGACCTCAGCCTCCATTCCATTATATTTTTGCCACAGCCCCTAAACAACGTACCACTTTCCCTTCTACTGATTTCTGCTCAAATCCGTGCTTTCTTGCTCTCTGTTCAGAAGCCAAACATTAATTTTCTAAGAGCCACATGGGACCCATTAGCCACTGCTGACTTCTAAACAATTTTCAAGTCATTATATATGTATTCACCATGCACAAAGTGGTGTATGTTGTCCGTGAAGCACAAGATAAATGATGCAACATGATGTTTGTATGAGTCTCTTGGGCTAAATGAGTTGCCTCTTACCAGTGTACAGGCATACATGGCAAGGGCAGATGCTCTAGTAGGACTATATGATTAGGCAGATGGCAGAGTGAGATGGCTGTTTTGGGGAACAGATGCTGAAGCAGAGAAGCCATCACAATGCATTAGGAGAGAGTCCTGTACCATATGGCATCCTCTGTGTGCCACATAAGCTAGCCTGCTGCCTGTTTCCCCCAGATGTGGTGGCCGGTTATTTTATTTCAGCCAATGTTAAAAGTGTACATGGGTTGTGCAGATAGTAAGGGATTGGCATGAAGGACAACACTTCTTCCCATTCCTTTACGATCCGACACCTGAATATTACTCTCGTCATCTTTCTAAGTTCAAAATACCATTCTGCATTTGTTTCACAAGTGACAGTATCTCCTCCATTTTTGATGAAAAGTCCCAGGGATCTGGAGAGAGAGAAAAAGCAGAAACAGAATTTATTGTTGTCACCCAAATTTTTCTTCAACCAGACACATTGAAATCTAGGGATCATATAGGCTTTGTATAACTTTGCTTATACAGGAGCAAGTAGCTTCTGGTGTGAGAGAATTGGCCATCTGCAAGGACGTTGCCCAGGGGACGCCTGGATGATTTGATGTTTTTATCATCCTTGTGGGAGGCTTCTCTCATATCCCCGCATGAGGAGCTGGAGCTGATAGAGGGAGCTCATCCGCCTCTCCCTGGATTCGAACCTGCGACCTGTCGGTCTTCAGTCCTGCCGGCACAGGAGTTTAACCCACTGCGCCACCGGGGGCTCGCCCTTCTCAGTGCAATCCATCTGTTATATTGGAAATTGTGGTCTACTTCATATTGCTATGAGGCTGAGAACCACACTGCAAAGAATGAACATAACAATAATACTTTTATTAAATTCCAAGGACCCGAGCAATTGAGGGCACCTTCAGGGCCTCTGTTTTCTACAGTTGTTTCTGTACCCCGGAGCGACTTGGCAGTGCCCAAAATATGAAACTCTCTTTCTACATGTGTTCACCTGCTTCTTAATTATAATTTTCGTGAAAATGAATACCGTAATGTCCTTCTAGTTCAGGCATGGACAAACTTTGGCCCTCCAGGTGTTTTGGACTTCAACTCCCACAATTCCTACTGGCTGTGAAGTCTTAGCTCTTATATTGGAGTTGCTAGCTTTTAAATTCCTGGTCAGGTGACGGGGCCCAAGGAGGAGAATATGGCCATCAGTTCTGAATACTTTCTCTAGTTCCCATGATGTGTATTTAGGTTTCTATTGTGTATTTCTCCAGTTGTACAGTCTCACCGGGATCATTTCCCTCCATAGTGATGCTACGATTTTCTCCTTCTGCTCCAGCCATTTTCCATCCCCAACCCTCTTTGCTGTTTTCCCGCCTTTTTCCAACTGTCGCTTCTCAGCATTCTTCAGAGAGCTGCCGAGGCAGGGCTCCTCCAAGGAGGGAGGGAGGGAGGGAGGAAAAGGAAGGAAGGAAGGAAGGAAGGAAGGAAGGAAGGAAGGAAGGAAGGAAGGAAGGGAAAAAAAGAAGGATGGAAGGAAAGAAAGAAAGACTGATGGAAGGAAGGAAGGAAAAAGGAAGAGAGGAAGGGAGGGAGGAAAAAGGGAAGGATGGAAGGAAAGAAAGACTGGAAGGAAGGAAGGAAAAGGGAGGGAAGGAGGGAGGAAAAGGGAAGGAAGAAGGAAAGAGGATGGAAGGAAGGAAGGAAAAAGGAAGGGAGGGATGGAAGGAAAGAAAGACATGAAAGGAAAAAGGAAGGGAGGGAAGGAGGGAGGGAGGAAAAAGGGAAGGATGGAAGGAAAGAAAGATGGATGGAAGGAAGAAAGAAAGGCAGGGAGGGAGGATGGAAAAAAAGGAAGGAAGGAAAAGGAAGGACAGAAGGAAAGAAAGACGGAAGGAAGGAAGGAAGGAAGGAAGGAAGGAAGGAAGGAAGGAAGGAAGGAAAGGAAGGAGGAAGGAAGGAAGGAAGGAAAAAGAAAGGGGAGAGAGAAAAAGGAAGGGAAAAACAAAGGAAGGAAGTAAGGATGGAAGGAAGGAAAAAGGAAGGGAGGGAGGGAGGAAAGAAATAAGGAAGGGAGGGAAGGAGGAAGGAAAGAAGGAAAAGAAGAGGGAAAGGAAGGAAGGAAAAAGAAGGGAGAGAGGGATGAAAAAAGGAAGGAAAAAAGGAAGGGAGGGAGGAAAGAAAAAAGGAAGGAAGGAAAGAAATTAAGAAAGAAGGAAAGAAAGAAAGAAAAAGGAAGGAAGGAAGGGAAAAAGGAAGGAAAGAAGGAAGGAAGGGGAGCCTTGGGCTTTTGGCAGCACTTATTCACAGGAGGACATGTCGCTCAGCCCCTGTTTACCCCCTCAGTGATACATAGCCATTCTCTCAACATGGAGACAAGTAATCCCTGAGTTACATACACCTGACTTACATACAACTTGCATACTCCTAGTTAAGAATGGAGGTGAGACAACAGGAAGTGAGAGAAATCTTCCCCACGTTCCCCTCAGGAAGAGTTATCACAGGGAAAAGGTGCCTTCACTGAAGCTTTATTCCCAAGCCTTGTTTCCACAAGCCAAATTCAATTATCAGAGGGACAGAAAAGGAGGTGAAATCTGATCAGAGGCACAGACAGCAAAACAAACACCACAGGGATGTTCACCCTTCCCTATGCTATCCAAAGCTAGTATATACAAGCAGTCCTCAAGTTAGGTTCTGTAGGTTTGTTCTTAAGTTGAATTTGTATGTACATCTGGCACGTTTTTAAAGTGTAAATCCAGCATCTATCTATCTCTCTATCTCTGGATAGCATAGGGAAGCGTTAACACCCTTATGACATTTGTTTTGTTGTCTGTTCCCGTTCAGATTTCACCTCACTTTCTGCCCCTGTGATAGTTGGATCTTGAAAAATGTGGCTCGTGGATACAAGGATTAGTGATAAAGTTTCATTGGAGACCCTTTCCCCCATGATGATAAGAATTCCTGCAGAATTCTGGGATTTGTAGTTTAGGGAGGAGCCTTTAACAGACTCACTGTTAAAGTAGGTTTTAGTGAGATCACTACCAGGTGTGTGTGTGTGTTAATAGAAAAAAAAACTTACCTTGGTGAATTACAATATACAGCTTGGGTGAATGGGATTTTTAAGGTCAGCCAATTTAGGCCACTCCCGAAGGGGTATAACTGGGAAGTGTTTGTAATTCAACTTTGGGCTTACTGAATGTTTGCTCCTGATCTTACCCTGCATTAGCTCCTGGCTTATTTGATGCAGGCAAGTTTATCTTTTCTGCTTGTCTCCATGTCCAAGAAAGGAAAATTGGAAGATACATATTTTCTGTGGGAAAAATTGCATGAGTTAAGTGCAAGGACTATACTTGAGTGTGTTACTCCAGAGGGACTGTGACTGTATTGATGCAATACTGCAAGTTTGTGTTAATGTTACTGGTTTTTGAATTCTGCTGCAGAAGAGTAAAATTTATGTTTTCCTTCTGCTTGTGTTGCTCATATGAAAATACAAAAGGACTAAGTTTCGGTTGTTCTGCATACATTGTCAACCTGTGACAATGATTCAATCAATATGAAAAACTCAGTCTTCAATTACAGTTTTATGCCACGTGTTTAAATTATCCTTGCACATTGCTAGCCCCATCTCAAAGTTTATCTTGTGATTTTCAGGACACTTCTCTAGTATTAAATGCTGTTTTGGGGGAAATGTAAAAAAACAATAAAAATCTAGATCTATAAATTGCTAAGGGTTTATTATACATTTGGGAGCTACAGCATATACATACATTGCTCAAATATGGTAGCAGGATAACCTGGAGCAGGCAGATATTTTATTTTATTGCTAATACAAGTAAAAAATGGGAGCTATTATTATTATTATTATTATTATTGAAAAAAACGGAGGAGGAGGAGGATCACTAGAACTCTAGTTGATGTCTTGGCTCAATGAATGTTTGCCATCTTTTGTTGAAACCACCCTTAGTCCTCCTGGGAAGATAGGGTGGATAATAAATAAAGGGTTTTAAAAAAATATTATTATTATTATTATTATCTTCCTATTAAACAGAAATGAGCAGTTGTGGGTCTACAAGTGTAATGATATTGCATCTCCCACAATCCTTCACCACTGGCCATGCCAGCTAAGAGTGATGTGAGTTGCAAGTCAGTAATACCTAAGGAGCCTTACTTACTTAGGCGATCTCTCATTGTCAGAGTAGGATAATCCTCCAAGGTGGATCCGTAGGTGACTATGGAGTCTTATTCTTGATTTGCATCGTCTCCCACAGTGAGGGCACTGGTTTCCAGGTGGAAGGCGGTCCCAGTTGGAATTGGCTTGACGCGCCTCCCTTTTGGCACATTTCTCTCTTTCGCCCTCCATTCATGCCTCTTCAAATTCTGCAGCACTGCTGGTCACAGCTGACCTCCAGCTGGAGCACTCACGTGAGGTATTATTGACAAGTCTTGCCTGTGTTGACTCTTAGCTTGGGGCAAGTAATAACTTCTTCAACACATTTTAATAAACTGTGGTTTTCAAGGAATGCAACTTGAATTGGACAAGACTCAAATTAAAAACCAGTTTATTAAAATATGTTGAAAGTTATTACTTGCCCCAAGCTAAGAGTCAACACAGGTAAGACTTGTCAATAATATCTCAAGTGGTTATCTGAGAGACGTTCTTTACTGAATGTCACTCAGATAGCCAGGCAGAGCAGCTTTAGAGCAGCTGATTGATTAGGCAGCAAATAAGTAACACTGGACTGGATTAATAACACCCCCCTCCAAAAGGTATGCTAGTAATTGTTTTTGTAGGACATCAACATTTATTCACTTAAGTGAATGCTGCCAATTAAATGAATAGCAGATGATTTATTCAGTATGAGTACTTACAGTGGTTTCTGTGATGCAGTGGTTTCTGTGTTCGACTCAGGAAGAACACAGTCTGAATCCCCACTCAGCATGGAAACCAGCTGTACGCATACCATACTCTCTCAGACTCAGAGGAAGGCAATGGCAAACCTCCGAACAAATCTTACCAAGAAAAAGCCATAAGTTTACCCCTTGAGTCACCATAAGTAAGAAGCAATACAAAGACACACAACAATGACAAACAAGTAATATAACACATGGAGACTGCAAAAAAGCTCTCCTGTTCAAAAAGGTTGAATGCCAATTTTATGGTGACATGTTTTTAGAAAGACCTTTCTTTGGGACTATTTTTCCCTCCCTGCAGACTAAAGCAATCGGACAACATCCCTTTTTTTACTGCAAGCCACCTACTGAGGATTCCTGGAAATGAATGAGTGAAACACAATTGGTTCTGATTGGCTAAGCAGGAGATCTTTGCTAAACGTACTGGCAAATGGAAAAAGAAAAGAGACACATTCCAAGATAAAACTGATTTTAAAACGGGTTGTGTTTGTATTTAATAAGATGCTTCCAGTTCTCAGCATATCAGTTCAGGCAGATATATCAACCCTCATTGTCAGCCAGCCACATGATGCATAGAATCATTACTGTTCTTTTTTATCAGGGCAAGGGGAAAATGCCAGCCAGAAGCAAGCTGAGCAAGCAAGCACAACACCAGGAGGGATCCAACAGCAACAAAGATACCCTGCAAACTGCATAATTGCTTCAGTCACTGCAGCACAAGCAATGAGGGCAAGTTCAGTACTCAGCTGACATCGTAGCTGGCAACAGTAATCAGCACCTTTATACAAGCTTCTCGGGTTAAATCCAGCAGTCCCCCAAAATACCACACGACACACTACTCCCATCCTATAAGAAACCACAAGGTGGTAGGCATACCCACAGGAGGAAAAGAACAAATATTCCCTCCTGCTATATTCTGGACAAAAAATTGATGCATTTTTTTTTAGCAAAACAGGAAGGGCAGGGATACAGAACAGACCCAGTGGAGCAGCAGCAAGTTTATACAGGGCACATATTTGCACAGCAGGAGAGTGCTTGCTCAGGAAGGGGAATGATAAAACTGTCAATTGCTTGCAAATTAGACCTTCAAGTCTCCTTCTGAGAAGAGCAGCTGTTCCAGGAGTTGGTGCATCCAGAAAAAAATCTGGAGTTGACAGGAGGAATAGGAAGATAATTATTTGTCAGTACCAAGCCCTACAGGAAATTCACCATGGGTCTGTTTGTCTTTCCCCATCTCCAGTTCTAAACAAAATAAAGCAACCAAAAAGCAATCAGAAACAAGAATACAGAAACAGGTAGAGAAGAAAAAGAAGAGTGCACCTTAACACAGGTAAAGTGACAGAAGTACTCACAGGGGTAGTGTGTCAATACACACAGCGAAAGACAAATATTTAAAAACAGGAACAAGAGGAAGGCAAGACAGGTAGGAAAGTTATAGAGGATAGAGAAACAGCTTTCAAAACCAGTTAAGTTCCAACTTAAGACATTTAAAAGGACATTAAAATGTCATCATTATTACACAG